TATTGAACTCTTAACCCAGATTCTCCTGAAAGATTTTACTGTGTCCAAACTTAATGATTTTTGTATATGAGGCTTAAAAAGTGACAAATAGCATGGGAAAAATAAGAAAAAAAAATATTTCCCTCGTGGAAATTCGGAAAAGCGGTGTCGTTTATAAACAACAGTAGTAAAATGCACTACTATCAGGTATGAATTGCATAAAGAAAACAGTTTCATTTTAATCCTTTATTTTAATTGTCTTTTATGACAAAAATAAGTAATAACATGGCAAAATAATTATATCACATGGGAGTGCTATGATACGACTCGAAACAGTTTTTAGGGTGTAGTGTAACATTGCATTTTTTACAAAAAAAATTGGCATGTTTATGGCAAAAAGAGCAGCGTAATTGCCCTTCTCGGTATTTTACTATGTGGCCGATACCATCATACCGTGAAGACTCCAGATAGGCACCAGACGTACGGCCAGGTTTCCGCTGATTCTTCCTAAATGTTTCTAATATTCCGGTGGCTACGCTCCTGCGGAATTTCAGATGGTCATGTTCACCTTTGTTGGCTTTATAAAGCTGCCATGCATTATGCAGCGTCATGTCCAGGCAGTGCGCAATTAGAGAAAAATACCATTTCTTGCCTCTTATTGATGTTCTATACAAGGATATATTCTGGTCGGACCTGTCGACGCCCCCCATGTTCTCGTTATAGAATTTTATAACAGCCGGTTGGTCGACCTGGATATGTTTTTTTTCTTTTTGCGAAAACCGTTTTGTTTTGTTTGTTGGGAAAACTCCGACAGCATTCGATGCTACTGTGACAACACTGTTGTCGTGCCATTTACAGACAACAATTTCTTCAGCTCTCGTCGATTTATATTGAAATGAACCTCGTTCCGTCTTTATCATTTCTTTATTGGTTGGCAAAGGACACTTTGACACCCGGTTTTCCCTTATGGTCCCAGTTGCTTTGAAATTTCGTTGACCCAGCTCATCAATTAGAGGTATTGACGAAAAAAAATTGTCAAAAAATAGATGAAAGTTGGCATGAGGATCGATTTTTCGCAAAACATCAGCGTACTGCAGAATGACGCTTACTCCCAATCCAAGTTTTCTGTACTGGCTCAAGACTTCTCCAGAATGTCCTTGATAGGGTTCGAACCAGTTGACATATCCCAAACGAGTAGCACCCACCCAAAATTTATATCCCCATCTGATGGGTTTCCCACGTATGAATTGCTTACATGAGTGACCACCGTAGTAAGGCACCATCGCTTCGTCTATACTATGATTTTCCTCGAAAGGCGCAAAATTCAAAAACTTTGCATTCAATGCATCTAAAAGCGGTCGAATCTTGGCAAATTTATCATTTTGTTGTAAATTTGTGTTGTCACAACAATGTAAGTTGTCCATAATAAAGTTGAAACGATCTCTGGACATAGCATTGAAAATTATGGGCATGCCACAGTCGGAAGCATTTTCCCAATACATTTGCCTTCTTGGTAATACCACATAGCCACTGAATAGCAATATTCCGAAGAAACACTTCATCTCTTCTTTTGTCACATTTCCTGCTTTGTTTTTCTGAGTAGCATACAGATTAGTGTACTCCACAAATAAATGTATAATTTCACAGTCAAACAGACATTCGAAATAGTACAGAGGCGTTTGTTTCAACGCCACACTTTGCTTATCTTCCCAAGTTTTCGACGATGGATGAATGTTTCGTGATACCCAAGTGTAACTTTTGTTTTTAGGGACAACAGTTGTTAGTTCTGTCGGCTGTGTTGAAGTAGTGGGTACTTGAGAGTCTTGCTGCATGCCACTGGTACTACCACGGTCAATCCGCTGACGTTTTGCCAGTTCATGTAGTGGCAGATCATCCTCCTCACTATCTGATGAACCATAGTGAATTTCTGCATGGGCTCGTAGTTGTGTACCAGGTAAATTATGCAACAAAACTATGTTTTCATCCCCCGAATCTTCGTCCGTAACGTCCGCATTACAATTTTCAGGTGGAAATATGATCAGAGAATCTGGCACTAGAGAATCATCGTCATTTTCCAGTTCCTCGATGATTTCATGAAGCTTCAGAGCCCGATGTTGCGTCCTACAATAAAAAAAATAAAATAATAATTTCTTGAAAGATAAAGTAGTACATTTTACTAGTGGCGTTTATAAACAACACTAGTTATTTTTCATTATAACTTCTTACCAATGGTTCTGAATCAGCGTAATATGATGTTTATATGTAGTTTACGATACTAACATTACGATTTATATAAATTATCTCAATAAATTATGCAACTTATTATTATTACTTACCTTAATAAACTCATCGTTGAAAACGGCTGAATTAACTTGTAAATAATAATGAGAACCTTGTGAATCGTAAAGATTTGCCACACAGACTAAGTCGACAAAGCTGTCACCTATCAAGTAACATGAATAAAAAAAAACAAAAGTACCCACATATTCTCCAATAATTTTTATTCCTATGTGTTGTTTTAAAACGACGGTAGTATAAAGTGGGTTAAATGGAGTAAAATGTTACTTGGGCTTGCTTTGTTGCCGCCAGACAAAAGGCTGTTAAGAACTTGTGTCAGTCGGCTACAAAAGCGTTCTTTCACCGATTTTTTTATGTCTTCTGCCGATATACCTAACGATTCTGACATACCAAGATACTTATAGGTCTCAGTTTCGGACAGAGATTTGAGTGTCATTGTCTCAGATTTAGACCGGGAAAAGTTGTGAATTCTCCGAATTTACAACTTTTCCCGGTCTAAATGTAAGACCGCACCAAAGTCTACACCAAACTCCATCCTGATGGCGTTGCTAAATACCTGTGTGGTTTTTAGCAACTTCACCAGGTCTTGTCGTTTTGTTGCGAACAACTTGAGATCATCCATGAAGAGCAGGTGACTAAATGACCTCACCCCCTCTTCGTAGCTGATAACTAAGCCCTGAATCCTTTAACAGAGTGCGAAGAGGATTCAGTGCTAGGCAGAACCACAAGGGACTCAAACTGTCACCCTGGAAATGCCTCGCTCAATCCTTATGAAGTTCAATGGATCAGGAGACCTCTCACCACCACCTGGCTGCCGAAGGACTGTAGTCCACTGCCCCATGTATGAGCATGAGCGTAAAAAGGATCTCATTGCATCTACCTTATACAACTCTAAGATCCTCTCCCACCATGATTGAGGCACCGAATCATAGGCCTTCTTATAGTCAATCTAGGCAGCAGAGAGAGCTTTCCTGCTCCGCCGAACTTGTTGGCTAATGGTTATGTCTATGAGGAGGAGCTCTTTAGTACCACGAGACTCAACCTTACATCCATTCTGGGCAGTGGCCACAAAATATTGTTTATTATTTTTATTATTAAGTGATTTAAGGTAGGTATATTGTGAACAACCTTTCGAGGGTAGGGAAATAATGCTGAGATTGTTACTTGAGTTTAATATATTTTTTATGTATTTTTTGTAATTGCTAGGTGTGTTTTTTTCTTATTCGTTATCAGTTATACTTCCTATGATTTAAAAGGTACAAAATGTCTTAAGACTGATTAATAAATAACTAGGCTAAATGCTTGTAGGGNAACTGTAGTGTGTTATGACAGTTTTGCACGCATTTTATTTATGCAATTTGAAATTAACTTACCCAAAATACAGCCCCAAGACAGGTTATGACAGTTTTCACGATCACTAATACACGTCCACTCGTCGCAAGTATCTATACGACACTGTTCATGAGTGAGTCATGCAAATTCCTGCTCCCGTGAAAACTGACACTTGCGCCATCTAGTATCTTTTTTTCATACCACAGATACGGCTGTTTTTTCCATCGATAGGAAATCGAAAGCGGAATAAAACTACATTTATAACTAAAATCACACTTTTTCTGTGTTATGACAGTTTTTTAGAGGACGTGCGACATAAGAAAAAAGGCATTATTACAAGATTTACTTTTTATGTTTTCGAGAAACTAATGTTTACTGATCTATGATGAAAACGTAGAAAACATGACGTGTGACACATAACACTCAAAAGCTTTAAAAACTTTAAAAACTACGAGAAAAAGTAACGAATTACAGTTACGCCCGTATTCACAAACATTACAATGAGGTCCCATAGTGCGCGTGGATGCACAGGGTGACACATGAGCCAATCCCAGAGCTCTATTCAACGCTGTGCGTTCGATTTGCTGCTTAACTTAAGCAAGCATCGTTTGTGAATACGGGCGTTAGCTATTAACCAAATCCAACACAATAATTAGATGGTTGGCAGTCCACAACAGTACGTTTCTCTAGAAACCAAACTGTGGAATGGACTGTCGTCTGCGGTGTTTCCGGACGGATACGACCTGCAAGCTTTCAAGAGGAGAGCGTATCTTCACCTTAAAGGCCTGCAATGCATCTGTAACGCCCCTGGGTCTGCGGGTGTCTATGGGCGACGGTAATCATTTACCTACCATCAGGTGATCCGTCTGCTCGTTTGCCTCCTGTCACATAAAAAAATAAGTACAAGAAGTGACGCATTTATGTCCAATCTGTGTCATAAACTCGTAACACTCGTACGTAAGATCACAAGATGCATTGACGACATCACAAGATGATTGCCCGTAACTCCCGCGTTTTGGTTGTAAACTTATAGTTGTGGGTGTTGGGAATGAGATATCTGGACACAGTGTTTTATTTTGGCTTAGAAGCGGACATCCCTGTTTTATTAATTCAATCGTTAGATATTACTATTATGTATATAATTGATAAAGAACTTGTAGTTGTATTTGCTTAGTTTCGAAGAAATATTCNTAATACCTGAAAACATTACTTGCCTATCCCGTGGGAGTTCGATGATACGACTAGCAAAATTTGTCAAAAGTAATATTGACTAAGGCCATCGGTCAAAACCACTATTTACTGAAATTTGCAGTCAAAAGTGGTTTTGATCGATTATGAGTTTTCACTGCAACATAATATATCGATCTTTCGAAAACGATAGGATTTCCAATAAGCCGCCACAGGGCCAACTCTATATTATCAAACTCGACCAGACAAATTAATAATGGTAAAAGCAATGAATTTCAATAGTTATCTAACAAAGGCATTAAAACCGTATTGTTACGGTCGGCATTTAAAAAACTAAAAAATATTCAGATGACAACCCTATTTACATATAAATTTTCTAAACTCATAGAAATTAAAATATCTTCGAACTTCCACGGGATAGGCAAGTAATATTTTCAGATATTATAGATAATTATATCATGCATCAATATAAAGTAAATATAGCTGCCAATTTTTTAGGATAACGGAGAAACAAATGTTTTCTGAAAATCATAAATTATTAAATAATTCCTAAATTACTGCAGCAATAACCATTTATTTTTGCATAAAGGTAGACGTTATAGTGATAGGTAAATTTATCTACAAAATTCTGACTTAATGTATTTTTTTTAGAAAATATGCTTCTAAAACTGTTTTTTTTTTGAAAAACACAAAATCGAATATTTCTTCGAAACTAAACAAATACAACTACTAGTTCCTTCATCAATTTTATACATAATAGTAATATCTAACGATTGAATTAATAAAACAGGGATGTCCGCTTCTAAGCCAAAATAAAACACTGTGTCCAGATATCTCATTCCCAACACCCACAACTATAAGTTTACAACCAAAACGCGGGAGTTACGGGCAAACTTTTTGCAAACGTGACTATCCTGTGAAGGAACTAAAATATTTTAAAATTTCAGACATCCAGCTCGATTTCGTTCCGGACCAATTTTCGAAATGAGATTTGTGCTCCAGATTTTCTTTGGCGATAAAACGCTGACTGCGAACTGACTGATTTCAATCTGGCTTAGGTTATAGATGTGAAGATGTTCGCAAGATTTTAACATAGTAACATAATATGAAGATTTCATGTGGTACATACTCTATTATTGCATTTAATAGTTGCACAAAATTTTCTTGTTAGTCTTCGTTTAAACGAAAATCTTACTCTCTAAAGTTCCACTTTTCGTGGGACTAATACAATATGACTCAAATATAAAATAGTTAGACACGGGTCTTAACGCTATGTTTATTAATGAGTTACATTATGTACTCACGGCTTGACATTTCGGCTGCTATGCCATGCTATGCTATACGACGCCGCGAGCCGCCAGTCTGCTTGTGACCACGGCTGCAGCATAGCAGCTGTAGTGTCTTGCTATTATACTACCATATCAATACTCAAATATACCTTTATAGGTGTGGCAGAGAAAAGTCATTTTTTTTTTGGAATTGGATTGTTGTTGGAATTAAGGAATATCAAGAGTGTTATTAAAGCTGTAAACCGGTCACCTCTTTTCACACTCATCTGCTATAACTTCAAACCTGATACTGAATAAACATATTTGTACTTTGTATCGTGTTATTTCAAGTCATATTTTTTATCTTACTCCGCTACCTCAACCTCGATTACCGTATCTCGTATTAATGACACGTATTTGGTGCAAGCGTGGCGCTCTCAGAGTAACGTTGATAAAAACATGACAGTATCTGCAGTACTGCTTTAATCTTTAACTTTTTATCATTTTTCCAGTTTGAAAACTTGTAACTTTTTCTTTTTATCTTCTTTTATGTTTTAGAGTGAGTAGATGACTTGGTTTTCCAAAGTTTTCCATAAAACTTCCAAAAAATTAGCATAATATGTATGAAAATTGCAGACTACCAATGCATGGAATTGATTTTGTCGTTAAATTATTTTATAGTAGGTTTTATTATTTGATAACCTATCACAGACATCTGCCGATTCTTCGGACTTGTATACTCGTCAAAATATGATTTTAAAATCAAAATATAGCTTTTTTAAAACCACCGAGTAAATTCAACCACCACTTGTTATGAAAGCAAGAGAGCGTGCTATTGGAGAACTGTTATTAGAACCTATTACCATTGATTTAAATAATATTTATTTAATTAAGCTTTGGCCTGACTTTAATTGGCAGATCATACGCAGCTTATTAAGTTACTCAAACAAACATATCACGGTAATTATTAACTACAAGAGATTTTCCTTTGATAAGAAGTTATTTAAACAGTGCTAGAAATTAGCAAGACTACGAGTATTAACAAAATAATGTTATTAATATTTTGGTACATCAGTATTTACACACCAAAAAGCTCCCCTTTAATTTTAGATCGAGATTAAACTACAAATCTGGATTTTGTTCCACAAACAAAATATTCGTTGCTTTTTTCCACGAAATATACATTTTGTACGAAAACAATGCTGGTTCAGATTTGCCATTTAAATGTTCTACCTAATCCTAAAGAGTATCCGACCAAAAGCTG